ACTCTGGATCCTACATTAAAAATGTAGAATAATATTAAAATGAAACCGACTAAAGAAGTATCTTACCCAAAAACATGCTACTCTGGATCCTACATTAAAAATGTAGAATAATATTAAAATGAAACCGACTAAAGAAGTATCTTACCCAAAAACATGCTACTCTGGATCCTACATTAAAAATGTAGAAGAATATTAAACTGAAACTGACTAAAGAAGTATCTTACCAAAACACACGCGATACCGACACCTACGCCCCCAATGATCAAGGCATGGTCTTTGACAAACATGTCAGTTTTATCGTAACAATCCTAATAAGAAAAATATTCAGATTTTAATATATCGATTTAAAAAAGTTTTGGACATTTCTAATTAAAACAAACTAATTTGAGTACAATCAGAGTTTTGTATATTTCTAATTAAAACAAACTAATTTGAGTACAATCACAGTGTTATACATTTCTAATTAAAACAAACTAATTTGATTACAATCAGAGTTTTGTATATTTCTAATTAAAACAAACTAATTTGACTACAAACAGAGCGTTGTACATTTCTGATTAAAACAAACTAATTTGACTACAAACAGAGCGTTGTACATTTCTGATTAAAACAAACTAATTTGACTACAAACAGAGCGTTGTACATTTCTGATTAAAACAAACTAATTTGAGTACAATCACAGTGTTGTACATTTCTAATTAAAACAAACTAATTTGATTACAATCAGAGTTTTTACTTTTCTAATTAAAACAAACTAATTTGAGTACAATCAGAGCTTTGTACATTTCTAATTAAAACAAACTAATTTGATTACAGTCAGAGTGTTGTACATTTCTGATTAAAACAAACTAATTTGAGTACAATCAGAGCTTTGTACATTTCTAATTAAAACAAACTAATTTGATTACAGTCAGAGTATTTTACATTTCTGATTAAAACAAACTAATTTGAGTACAATCAGTTTTGTACATTACTTGTACGTAGAATTTATCCAACATCGTGATTGCAGTGTGAAAGCTCACCTACAGTTGTCAAAATCCCCCTCATTGTAACTACCTCCATTATAAATAAATTAGGCCTAACTGAGATAAACCTGAATATGATGTCACCAAGGAACGTTTCTACTGGCTTTGTCTTTCAATCCTAACTAACATATTTACAGTATATATGTGAGAGAAACAATTACATACCACTTTTTGTTTTCAAATTTTTAATAATGCGGCTCTGCTTTTGTTTTATCAATAAACTTGATAGACTACAAACAACAATGAGAATTCTGCTGTGGCTAAAAATAGTGTTATGTCTCCGTTTGTTAATTACTTTTCCGAAACTTCGTTCCGACGAAACTTTAGCGACACAAGTCCTTACTTAATAAAACTGGTTTATTCTTTCCGAATACAACTTTACGATACACTTATTTTCAACAGTCGCGCTATAACAAACTATAGTTCACGTCTCACGAGCTCTACTTCAACAATATGTCTCTCTCTGACTGCAGTTCAATTACTCATTACCTACACACACATTGTCACGTCACGCCGTGAACATCTTATATATACCAGACCACCCCCAATCTAGCAAATGCTAGAGCACTCCCGAAGGAACAGGATAGTTCTAGAAACGTGGCGTGACACTAGTCACGTGACCTCGCTGACGCAACAATAGGTTCAAAAATTTATTGTGCAATTTGTTTTGAGGCAGTATTCATAGGTCGTTGTTTAATTGTTAATTTTATATTCGGTGAGACTTATTAATCTTCTACAATTAAACATCAAATATAACAGGTCCATCTTATCGCATCAGCGTAATTAAATATTAATTTCTTATTTGTTTTTGTTTGTTTTAAAGCATAAAGCTACAGCTGAGTAACAGGGTGCTAAACATGGAATATAACAGATCTTACCACTTTAGTGTAATTAAACATTAAATATAGCAGATATATCTTACTACAATAGCATAGTTAAAAGTTAAATATAACAGACCTATCTTACCACGTTAGCGTAATTAAACATGAAATATAGTACAGATATTTGATCACACT